AACATGTGAAGGAAAAGCCTGAAACAAGTGAGGATCTGCAACTCCCTGTTAGCTGAAAGAGCTATCTGGCACACAAATACTAAAGCGTGCAGTTCATCTCCCTAAGTGCCCATCTGAGTCATTCACATACTATAATTTTGTATTTTCTTCAAATAAAAAGGTTGTTTAAAACGATATATGGATAATAAAACTGCATAGCTCATAAACGTGTTTATTCATGATGCTTACAATCGTTTTCCATTGTAACTGAACCAGAATAACTAAACATATAACTCATGTGATCATGGAAAGCTATGAATATATGAGAGCACAATCTTATCTCCCCTCTGAGATCTTTTTTCATTTTGAAATATCTCCGTATAGATATGCTTAAAAAAACAAGACTGTTCAGCAGATAAATCGAACACCCTTCATAACACCCTGCATCGTCTTTCTGCACATACAGATCTTAACAAACAACCCGGCATCGTTCAGAGATTGTAGGTTAATGTGTTCTCCCACCATGGCAACCTACTTTCCACTGGAAGAACATCAAGATTTAACAACCTTTATGCAAGCAGCCATATGAGCTGACCTATATAACACCAGCTGTATCTTAGATAGGAACATTTCATCATGCAAGGATGCAGATAAAAAACCTACGGTCCGTTTTTTATCTCGTTTCCATGAAGCAGGTTTCTTTGTAATGCAAATAGGACAATTTGACAGTTAAATACAAGCCAATTATAGTATAATTATACAGCCAGTCAATAATTTTATGTTTGTAGAAGAGAACAAATGTTTTCTTTGTGAATGAGAACAGTTAAGCAGCTTTTCGTTAATGAAGAGAATATTGCATAGTTATAAACAAAAATAATATGACAGATAATAGAAAAAATAAGGGTTAGCAGCAATCAGTAAATCTACTATCTACAGGGATACAAACCTTTGAGTATCTTGGATTTGGTTTTTAAAGTCCCAGATGGAGGAGAAGAGAAAAGAATGTTTCTGTTCTAAGTGTGGACTGTTAAAGATATAATATTTTACCTAAATATTAAGATTTATGTAAACTTGTTCAATACTAAACTCCAATTTACTTGTTTTTTTCAGATAATTTTAACACAAATGAAATAAAGCTTACATGACGCATAGTCTTTAGTTTAATAAAGCTTATTGATTTAAAGCACAAAAATGCTTATTTATGTAGAATTAATCAAATATACTTACTCATAATTAATACTAATTAGTGCATTTATTTTATCAAATACATAAAGTTTATTGTCTGAATTGCATAATAATCAGGTTACCTTTATGCAGTTCAAAAAATAAATTTTGTGTTTGAAATAAATAAATTCATCATTATTCATTTTGAGTAAGTACATTTTATTTTTATTTTTTTTATACTAAGTTAATTAACCTGATTATTATGTATTTTAGATAAATGTGTTTTATTTTGCAAATTAATATCCACCATGGTAAAGTAAATGATTGTTATTTCTTATTTCAACCGTTGCGAATATTAGCTGCGACATAAGAATCAAAATTTGATTGACAGGTGAACGTTGATATATGATTGGACGAATTTAGGTGTTCAAGCTGACATATAACTAACTGACCTGCATAAAATAACAAAAAAAACAAAAACAAAACACAGATTTTGAGAAAGGATTTTTTTTTTTAGATATTTTTTTTTACTTTTGGGACAATAAAGTCTGAAAAAGACTACATTTATATGCATATTTAAATATGACTTTCTTATGACTTTAATAGGTTTGTGTTAACATGATATTTAAAAATTAAATGATTTGTTATGTAGCCTAATATAATGATATAAATCTTAAAATGTTGGTGAAATATTTGAGTGAAGGTGCAGTGATACAGTTGGAGGCTCACTATAGGATATGGTGAGCAGCTGGAAAAGACGGAAATAACGTCCTTATAGGGCTTTATTTCCAGGCGTGAGATGTTTGTATTCCAGGTGAGATCAAGGAACTTTTAGTCATCAATTCTATAAACTTCATTGCCTTCCATTTAAAGGGGGAGTGAGTGATGAGCCTACACTTCCATAAAGCTTTAGTTACTTTCATCTTTGAGGTGTTTTCCAGTCCTTCATTATCAAGCGCTGAATCTCCTCACTGTAGGCCAACTTTTCATTATCAGACATCAGACCTGCAACAGAGGTGTCCTCAGGCAAACTAAACATGATGCTGCTGGACTGAAAAAGTGGAAAGTTATGGGTGAATGTTAAATAGAGAACAGGACTGAGTTCACACTGCTGGGGTTTCCTGATTTAATGCAGGTTTATTCTGATTTAATCCAGAATCCACCTGCATATTGATCCGTCAGAGCCCAGGTGGCTCACTTTACATTTATATATTTATAATCTGGAATACATTTCGGAAGTGAAACTGGTGTAAAATTTTACTTTTTCCATGAAAAAGCAAAATCTTTTACACAAATGACTTAAAAAACAAAAAACATTACTGATAATTATAGAAACAAACGGAGGAAAATAAATTGATCTCTGAGAGATCCTTGACGGATATTATGCATGGCCTCCTATTGCAGGGTAAAATTACATTTTCTTACATTTTTATAATATATATATAAAATTTTATAATAAAATATGTTTATATTATTGTTATCAGTAAACGGTTGCAGCAATCCATGACGATACACCGACTCTTATTATCTATTTAATTTGCTGATGTTGAATCTGTTTGTTTGGCTGGAGTTGATTCCACTCATATTAGCTAATTCCTTTAAGTTTTTTTTTTTACTGTTTTTGATTAGGCCTACATTTATTGTGCATCGTTTTGTATTATTTTTTATGTGGGATGATTATTGTGGTATTTCTTCTTGGTTAAACAATTAGTGAATTAATAAGAGTGCACCCTGTTACAGTGATTGTTGACTTAACTGGAGAAAACTTTTATAATGGCTGTTGATCCTGATTTTGTTCTGACTCTTTTTATCTGACATATTGGTATGTTTGTATATTTCAGCCAAAAGATAAAAAGATGATTTTCTATTGTTATAATTTGCAAACTTAGGCTCTTAAATATTGTTTGCAATGTAGATGAATACCGATTGGAACCTGTTACATAATGTATGACAGCATTCAGCTGATCTGTTCTAGAGTAAGATTTTCTTTAATTTAAAATTTTTTCTTCTAATCAAAATATTACAAAAACTCTTCAAAATGTCATTCAACCCTCCTAAAGTTAGTTACCTAAAAACATTTCTGTTCTTGTTAGTTTTATTTATTTATTTGTTCTGCGTGTTGTCTCTACTCCTTTAGGGATCATGTAGGTGGAGGTGAAGAAATTCCCACGGATCCAGCTCTGGAGCGGCCCCAGGGCCAAGCAGGGGTCAGCGGGTTCGCAGCCCACCCGCCCCGGTGTCCTTAAAGACGGGTCGCGTGACCCCGCCCCTCTGACTACTCTCGTCGTAGATGTAAACCATATCCGTTTTCACGTTAAAAGTAAAGTTAGAAGTAGTGAGGCGCTGAAAACCGGAAATAGAGCTGTACGCTTTGATGAGATCAAAGAGCCGACCTCCCAGGAATAGCTTTGATCTTGTTAGAGCAAACCAGACAAACAAATAAACACCAATAACGGAAACACTACACATGAGCTCCCAAATCATTCACATTTATTCATTCAATCATTCATTCTTTCATTAACAGCTGTGTTTTAAATGAAAGTGAGGCCACATCATCTAAAGAATAAAGTGTAATAAACAAAATATAGATTAATTATGGACCAAACTCAAAGTCTGATCATCCCTACGTGCATTCAAATATAGTTATACTCAAAATACATAGTGTCAAAATGTATGTTTTGTTTGAAAATCTCTTTTTTTTTTACTTGTGCGTTGATAAAACACTAAAAAATAAAAACATTAAAATCTGTAAGGTACAACTGAAGGTATTCCTATTTTTGAATGATGACTTTCTTTAATATTTTTTGGTAAAATGTGAATCAAATAACCAACAACTTTGATCCAATTGGACCTGAGAGAGTTAGCATGTGTATTTAATCAATTCATCCAATTTTGCTAGTATAGTTATATCTTTGTGATAACATTCATTTGTAAAATTTGACTCTATGATCTGGTGAACTGTAAAGTGCCTTGAGATGACATGTGTTGTGAACTGGTGCTATAGAAATAAACTTAATTGAATTAAATTTAAGAGAGGGGTATTTTATTATGGAATTGGTCATGTTGCAAACTACACAAACTACAAGTAGTGTTAAGATCCAGTAAAAACAAAAAAATCTTCTGAGGCGATCAATGATTTAGCTCTGATGGGGATGTCCGGACAGGGGTCAGTAGGGGCCATATGCCCTAAATCAAGGGTCTTCAACATTTTCCAGGCCAAGGACCCCCAGACTGATGGCGAGATGGAGCCATTATACAATATATAATTATATATATTTTATAAAATTGTGTTACATCAAACTGGTCCTACAGTCAGTCTATGGATGGAGTCATGCACTGAAAATAATTTCACCCTGGAATTATTAAAGTATTTCTGATTCTGATTCCTCATAGACCATTTAGGGCTTAAATGGTCCTGTAGAAATAACACTAAATCAGGTTTGTCATATGAACAAAAACTGTAACAGACTCAAATATTCAATCAAATATTCAATCTGCTAAGTCGGATCTTTTGGCTCTCTAGATTTAGTAAATGATGAGATGATAATGATATATTTATCTTTCAAATAATTCCTGTGATCAAGAAAAAAATATAATAATCTAAATACCGTTAAAGACGCAGTAATTCCATTATTTTCATTAAGATCCAAAATTCTCAGATTAAAGTCATAATCTGAAGTAGTCAGAACTCTGAGATTCTGACTTTTTTCTCATATTATACTGAAATAAAATGTAAAAATTTGTTGACTTTTTTTGTTCAGTGGCCCTAATCATCTTCCGTAGTAAAAAAAAAAAAAAAGTTGAATAATAAGGAGAGGAGGCTTTTATTTTGACATCACTCCCGGAAGTGTAACGCCGCCATCTTTCTGCTTTGATCCTGAACATAAACATTTCATGGTAAACTTAGGTCAGAGCTCAAAGACTGAGGACTGCAGCTGTTTCTCCAGCTGACACCCTTCCAGCAGCCAGCAGGTCAGTCCTCCTCCTCCTTCCGGCTGCTTCTGTCTCTTTCCGCCGTAGCCTGAAGCTTTAAAAGCGGATCCCTTCAGCCGGAGCCGCTGCTGCGTCAGTTCCTAACTGTGGGTCGCGACCCACGGAGTCCAGCTCCACGCCCTCTGCCTGTTTATACCAGAGGCTTCATAGAAACTTGTTGCTTTTTTAACTTGCGGAACTGCCGCAAAAAAGTGGCTTTTAGTGAACCCCCCCTTCATACTGTTGGTCACTAACTAGTGCGAGTTTTATTCCATCTGTATGAACTCTAAGGGGCGGTGGGTGTCTCATTCTGCCTGCCTCGCGCCTGCCAAACGGCTTTTATCTACACCAATGAAAGAGAGGGAGAGACGGGAGGAGGCTGGGTGAAGGAGGGAGGAGAGGGGAGGTTAACAGTCCTACAACCGTCTTTTTGTCCTGTTTATCCGCCATGTAGGCCAGCTCTGTCCGGCTCAGGTCCAACTCTCTGCATGCGGCCCTAGGAGCAGCAAGAGGCGGGTTTCTGCCGCGATCCTCCGCGGATGGTGCGGTGCGGTGCGGTGCGGGGTGGATCATCCGGAGAGGCCGTGGCAGACATTTTATCCACGGTCTTCAGGAGCCCGAAAACTCTGCCGGGGACATCCGAGGACAAGGTAAAGCATCCCAGGGATGTGTTTGAACGATCTCATGATGATACTTTAAATAAAAAGTAGTTCTCTAAAGGCTAAACCCTTTAAAAGCTTATATAAAGTTACTGTTATGAGAAATGGCAACATGTGTGAGGATTGTAATACCTGCTTAAATAAAGACGGATTAAAAGATGTCTGAAAAACTGGGAACTAAAGTGAACCCATCTATTTAGAGCTGATGATATTAGGTTATATTTATCTATATTTACCTTGGCACTGTTAGAGGGGACTTACCTATGTTTATTTATTAGTTCTCTGCTCTAAAATCCAATTCTTTCTAATCAATAGTCACAAACTTTGTAGAAAATTACTCAAACATTGTCAAACAGATAATTTTCATCCCGATTCATAATGTTTTCACTAAACTGTAATTTTCACCTTCCTAAAAAGTATCTACACTGGAAAAACAATCTAGAAATAAGTAAAATTTTCTTAGATTTAGTCTATTTACCCCTAATTTGAGTAGGTAAATGAGATAATTAGATAAAATGCACTTTAAATAAGACAATGCAATTCTGTTTTCTTATTTTAAATGTATGTTATCTTGTTCCATTGGCAAGACGTCTCTTTTATCTCCTAAATCCAAGAACAAATGCGCTTATTTTAAGAAAAATTACTTATCTAGATTTCAATTTTTCCTGTGTATTTACTTCAAGACACGTTTAATGTCTTGAATTATTATAATATATATTGTTAATTGACAAAAACTTCCAGCTGTAAGACATAATAAAGGTTATGTTAGATTTAATAATGTTAAGATTCGTCCATAACATGGTTTATATGTGCAGGTTTGCTTTGAGCCTCAATCAGTCATTGGGTTGGAGGCAGAGTCCTTAATCCACCTCAAAGATATGAATGCCTGTTTTAAAAAGTATTTGACCTCATATTTCTGACTGGGGGGGCAGGAATATCCTGAGATAAGATGAAACACTCAATGCTTGGATTTCATTTAAAATCTGTTTGATTTCATGTCATTCACTTTATTTTTATAGCGCCAATTCACATCACATGTCATCTCAAGGCACTTTAGTTCACCAGATCATCCAGTCAAATTGATTCAAAGTTTTCTCTCTAAGGAAAACCAGCTGATTGCAGCAACCAATTGACTAAGCACACTAAGCATGTTTGTAGCGACAGTGGAGAGGAAAAACCCTTTTGATCCCCAATCATTACATTCAGAGGAAAAAGAGACCGAACTTGGAGTACTGCAGAAAACCACTTTAGCTGATACAAAACTGGCACTGATAAAAATAATGCAATCACTTTTTGCATTTACTTAATCATATTTAGTTACTTTAACACAATTGTTTTATGTCCTACCCTGCTAATATGAAATTATTGTGTTAAAGTAACTAAATATGATTAGGAAAATGCCAAAAAGGGTTGCATTATTTTTTTATTTTCACTGTATGTTGTTGGGTGTTACATAAATGTGGTAATTTTACACCTAGACCTGAAGACATAAAACTGTTTCTCAAGGTGGGTAATTACTCTGAATGGACCACTGAGTTATTACAATTCAATTCAGTTTATTTTTTTAATTCAGTTTATTTACAAAGCGCCAATTCACAACAAATGTCATCTTAAGGCACTTTCAGAGACAACTCAACCAGATTATATGGTCAAAGTGATTCAGAGTTTTCTAATCAACCTCATAATAAGCATGCTTGTAGCGACAGTGGAGAGGAAAAACTCCCTTTTAACAGGAAGAAACCTCCAGCAGAACCAGGCTCAGGTTCAAGGAGACAGAAGCAGACATAGAGAAAAGAAGGCGCCCCGTCCAGGAAACACACAGCCAGGCAGATGAGGAGCAAGCTCCCATGTCAGAAGATGAAGAGAGCACATCCAGCCAGTCACAGTTAGAGAAACAGGACTACTTTAGCTGATACAAAACTGGCACTGATAAAAATAATGCAATCACTTTTTGCATTTACTTAATCATATTTAGTTACTTTAACACAATTGTTTTATGTCCTACCCTGCTAATATGAAATTATTGTGTTAAAGTAACTAAATATGATTAGGAAAATGCCAAAAAGGGTTGCATTATTTTTTTATTTTCACTGTATGTTGTTGGGTGTTACATAAATGTGGTAATTTTACACCTAGACCTGAAGACATAAAACTGTTTCTCAAGGTGGGTAATTACTCTGAATGGACCACTGAGTTATTACAATTCAATTCAGTTTATTTTTTTAATTCAGTTTATTTACAAAGCGCCAATTCACAACAAATGTCATCTTAAGGCACTTTCAGAGACAACTCAACCAGATTATATGGTCAAAGTGATTCAGAGTTTTCTAATCAACCTCATAATAAGCATGCTTGTAGCGACAGTGGAGAGGAAAAACTCCCTTTTAACAGGAAGAAACCTCCAGCAGAACCAGGCTCAGGTTCAAGGAGACAGAAGCAGACATAGAGAAAAGAAGGCGCCCCGTCCAGGAAACACACAGCCAGGCAGATGAGGAGCAAGCTCCCATGTCAGAAGATGAAGAGAGCACATCCAGCCAGTCACAGTTAGAGAAACAGGACTACACTGAAAAATACGGAAGAGGATTAGGGCCACTGAAAAAAAAAAAAAAGTTAACTGATTTAAAAAAAAAATTCAGTTTAGTATGGGAAAAAAGTCAGAATTCTGACTTTAATCTCAGAATTCTGACTTTAATCTCAGAATTCTGACTTTAATCTCAGAATTCTGACTTTTTTCTCAGAAGTCTGACTTTTTTCTCAGAATTCTGACTTTAATCTCAGAATTCTGAGAAAAAAGTCAGAATTCTGAGATTAAAGTCAGAATTCTGACTCTTTTCTCAAAATTTTAACTTTTTTCTCAGAATTCTGACTTTTTTCTCAGAATTCTGACTTTTTTCTCAGAATTCTGACTTTAATCTCAGAATTCTGAGAAAAAAGTCAGAATTCTGAGATTAAAGTCAGAATTCTGAGATTAAAGTCAGAATTCTGACTTTTTTCTCAGAATTCTGACTTTAATCTCAGAATTCTGACTTTAATCTCAGAATTCTGAGAAAAAATTCAGAATTCTGAGATTAAAGTCAGAATTCTGACTTTTTTCTCAGAATTCTGACTGAATTCTGACAATAAAAAAAGTCAGAATTCTGAGAAAAAAAGTCAGAATTCTGAGATTAAAGTCAGAATTCTGACTCTTTTCTCAAAATTTTAACTTTTTTCTCAGAATTCTGACTTTTTTCTCAGAATTCTGACTTTTTTTCTCAGAATTCTGACTTTTTTTCTCAGAATTCTGACTGAATTCTGACAATAAAAAAAGTCAGAATTCTGAGAAAAAAGTCAGAATTCTGAGAAAAAAGTCAGAATTCTGAGATTAAAGTCAGAATTCTGAGATTAAAGTCAGAATTCTGACTTTAATCTCAGAATTCTGACTTTAATCTCAGAATTCTGACTTTTTTCCTCAGAATTCTGACTTTAATCTCAGAATTCTGACTTTAATCTCAGAATTCTGACTTTTTTCCCATGTTAAACTGAAATAAAATTTAAAAATCAGTTTACTTTTTTTTCAGTGGCCCTAATCCTCTTCCGTAGAAAAAACAGGCCGATCTTGTTTTTTTTTTTTTTTGTTTAGAATACTATAAAAATGCATCATATTTTTTTGGGGGGTGTGTGTGTGTGTGTTTTTGTTGTTGTTTTTTTTTGCCTGTTGGAATCGTTAAAAAAGCGCAGCTGCAGGTGGATAAACATCCTCCAGAGCAGTTTGGTATATTTTATCGGACTTTAAGGTTTTGCAGAAGTGTGAAGCAGCGCAGTGAGGAGGCAGCCCCTGTAGGCGGGCTGGGCTTCATACGCGGAGGTTTGATTCACATCCTCATTAATATCGGACATCCGGTGGCACTGCCAGCTGCGCCCCATTTTTATTGTTGTCTGTGCGCTGAGAGGATGACTGCCGGGCCGCCTCCCCGCACCGCGGAGCGCAGCAGCCGCTGATGGTGAGCGGATCTTCGCTTCCTTTCATCCAGAAATCATTTGGAGCTTCCTGGTGAAGGTTAGAGCTGATTGTGAGCGGAGGGAGTCTGGGTGTTTGGGGCTCAGGGCTGGATGCTCTCCTCCATCCAGCTGCGCGGACACGCAGCGTGCTCCTGACCGCAGACACAACTAAACCGAAACCATTTATTTCTCCTAAAATCCATCCGTTTTCTTGCATTAAACCAAATTTCTTTCAATCCGGTTGGATTAAAGATGCGCTCTGAATAATCAGGGAGCCACTAGGATCCCAGAATGAAGCTCCAAGGACACTGAGAGGCGGGGGTCGTTCATTTAACCTACTTTTCTCCTCTTGCACTTATTTGCATAATTACGACAGAAAGTGAGAATTCACAACTAAATCCGCGCTTTGATGGAAACCCAGATTGTTCTTCGGGTTTATTTTTTTTTTAAACCGCCTTCCTGGATAGACTGACCCAGCCCGCTGTCTCCACGGTCCGCTCCCCGCCGCCTGCTCGCTGTTTTCGGCCATGGTGTTCCAGCCTCCATCCCATCCTTCCCGCTCTGCTCTGCTTGTTTCCGGCACGGCCATCCGAACCCCTGCCGCGTCTTCCAGGATCATGCTTGGGTTATTATAGTTGCATCTTTCTTAAAGCGGCTGAGGATCGGTTGGTTTTCCCTCATAATCTTAATTTGCGGTTCGCAGGCAGACGGACTTTCCTGACATGCGCAGCGTTTGGCGCATCCTTCAGAGGAGACGAACATCAAACAATCAGATCCGGAGCAAAGTAGTCATTTAGTTCAATCTGGAAAACTCACACAAAGAGAAAAGACAATAAGAAATTTATTGATACAATTAATTTGTCTTTGGCGCTCAGACCTCGGCAGAAAATATTGAATTTTGATAGATATGCATGAACAGGAGCAAAGAATAGGGCTGCCCCCCCCCCCCCCCCCCCCCCCCCCCCCCCCCCCAGGCCTGAAACTGGTGGTGGAGATTTTTAAGTTGATCAGTC